TATGTTCACATGTTGTCAATTTGATAAAATCTATATGTTATACGCTTCCTCTTCATGCACTATTTCAATTGCTTTTGTTAAGTATTCCCCGAGCCTAACTATACAAGTCAGAAGCAATTGTTGTTCTACCGTTTTTGCGTCGTCATGGCCCAGGCATTACCTTTCAACATGACAACGTCCGGCTTCATATTGCTCGACTTGTTCAGGATTCTCTTCAGCAAAACAACGTGAATGCCATTCCCTGGCAGGCTCGCTCCCCTGATCTCTCACCAATCGAGCACATGTGGGATGAGATGGATCGGCGCCTTCGACGTCAACCACGTGATCCCCAGACACTCCAGAAACTTCGAAACATGTTCCAGCAGATGTGGACAGGTATCCCACAGGACTTTGTGCGACGTTGGTCCATCCATGAGACGAAGATGTGTTGCCTGAATCGCTACCAGAGTTGGACACTCACGCTATTGATTTGTAAATTAACATTTTGGCATGGTTTTTTTTATGAAATCACGCATTTTCTGAAGTCAGTATGGCAAAGTAAACCATTTGAACACTTACGGGAGTCTTTTATCTTTTGCAAACCGAAATTGTTTCAGATTTGGTAAAACACATAATTTGCTTTAAATGTTACTATCTGTCACAGGATTTGTTGTTGTTCAGTATATATAGACTTACATTTCATATGCAGTTTGTTAAGTCATATCAATTGTTGGTCATTCTCAATTCTTATTTTGAAGAATCAATATATATTCAAAAATACGCCTTGCCCCAGTGATCTGATAGGAGGCCCTTTAGAAATTTGTAGTACTTTGCACACAAAAACGAGAGGAGAATGTGTTGCTCATGATAGAATTATGTACCGCCATAAATAGAATACATTTTATGAATGCAGTTTGTTAATTGCGTTTAAGTTAATGAAACAATTAAAAAATATGTCATAAGTTGTTCCAATTTATGATAAAATGTTGTTTTTTCACGTTTATTTCAGGTGGAGATTACCTACATCCTGAAACGAGCGGATAATATGTTGCTATTGATGGAAATGCTGCCCAACTTTCAAACATATATGAACATTTGACAATATATGAACAAATTGCGAACATGTGAAGTGCATTTAACCTTCAAGAATCAGCCGTCTTTATTCAGCACTTGTCAAATCATATGGATAATCTCTCACCTTTGTATGGGATACGTGACCAACGTTGTCAATAAAGAAACACAATCGGACTAAACACAACATTTTCATGTTATAGATTATAATTACTGTTCCGATTAATTGAGAACAAGGGACAATTAAATTTTCACAATATACTCTCAAACAGGAAACCATATACACCTTCGGTTTGTATTCTTATGCATAGTTCAACAGTAATTAGACATTCGTTTCTATATTTTGGACTGTAATGTTGAATCTTTTTCGGTGGATAACCTAAACTGGTTATTCTCTTGCATAGACAATATACATACAAAAGAGATCAGTTAAGTTATCTAAATATATAATTTTGAAGATCTGTTCGAATGGATAATGTCAGAGAATTTGTATTTGGGGTTCATCTATCAATATGACATTGGCGTAACAATAATATAAAATATTGCAATACCTGAAGTCAAATGGCTAGCTTTATTATTGCCAGTGTTTCACTGACTGAATCTTTCTGTTTATATTTTATAATTTGACTTCATTCATTCTATGAAGATCTCGCCTTAGAGTTTCATCAATTTCTACTAATTACACACTTTATTGAACGCATATTATATATTGAGTGAAATTGGTCTTCTATATAACCCAATAATGACAGAATGTATATACAAGACATAAGCTATGACGTCTCTCATATTTGTCATCGCAAACAGATCGTAGTTAAGTAAAATAATTGCGGTTACGTGGGCGTCGTCGGTGCAGACCATATATGGACAAACAGTGCTCGGCCGCTAAACACATACTGTATATAAAATGACAAAGAAAAAGACAAAACTGTCTCATAATGGACAATTGAAATTGCGGGGTTAAACGACGATATAAATGTGTCGGTTATACAATTTCCGAGCCTTCCACATGACCATGTATGTAAACCCCAATGAGGAAACTATCTGTGGCCATTCTAACCTAGACACATTCCACCATATATACGTGAAATCAGAGGAAAGTCGTTAATTCAATAATATTGACAAAATAACAATCCTATCAGGGCTTACTCATTTCCTGATAGATAGGGAAACATGTTGATTATAGTTGCTAGCCATACGAGGACCAGGCCAGTACATACTGACCTGGACCAAATAACGTTTGCATGCTAAACGTTTTGTTGGGCACATTACTGACCTAAAATTAGCACGTGCTTGCAACAAAAGAAGGGTAGGATGTGTTGTTTCATATTTTTATCTTTTGCCTTTTGTCTTTTATGAAGGGTTATAAAAAAATGAGATGTGCCAAAATAAATGATGTGTAAAAGAGTAGATGTATATATATTCTGCACAACAAGAAACGCGAAAGTAGTTTAAACATAAATATTTGTATCTTTTGCCTTTTGTCTTTTATGAAGGGTTATAAAAAAAATAAGGTGTGCCAAAATAAATGATGTGTAAAAGAGTAGATGTTTATATATTCTGCAAAGAAAGAAACACAAAAGTAGTTGAAACATAAATATATGCTGATTGTTGTTGATATCCTTACCAAAATTGAATTGAAAATTAAACTCGTCATTTCTGGATTGGGATTGAAATGAGGTACTGCAGAAATGTGATGAAAATATCAAATAAACGATAAAACACAACCACAGCCTTGCGCTGAAAAACATTCACCTGACATGCACGTGCATCATCACTTCTAGAAAAAAAACTTTGGGCTTTCATTCACGTGCTGCAACAATCTTACATCAAGTGAACAGCGAAAACATTGCACGACTGACGGATGTCCAACACAACAACGCTATCGGACGACTACATGCAAAACGTGTCATTCGTGTCAGGTCCGGTCGACCACGTATCACTAATTGAGCAAAGGGCCGATTCACACGGCTACATTACTTACGTGAAAGAACGACCACGGCCACTTCTACAACTACGACAATACGCGTCCTTCCAATTATGCAAGAAGCGAACGCCATTTTCCAACACGACAACGCCCGACATCACACAGCAATATTCCAGAAGTCTTGCCCTGCCATGGCCCTCCAGGTCTCTAAATGTAAACCCAATCGAACATATACGGGATGCACTGTATGCACTGGACTGCGAGCACATGAGCACCAACCACAGAGCCTCTTGCAGTTGTCACAGGAACTGCAGGAAGAGTGGGTGAACATTAACATAGATATAGATGTTATCAATGGGAATTTCAACATTTCACATAGTGTTTTCTCAATGAACTGCATATGCACGTTTTTTTAGTTTCATTTTGACAAATCGCCACTTTCAGTGACAAATACTCTGTGGATATGGAATAGTAATGTATAAATTTGAAAAAAAAATCAAGTTTTTTGACATACTTGAACTTGGCGCTCGGCGTTAGGGGGATAAAACAAGGACTGTTCAGCTCGGAGTCAGCATACTAGGTTTGTGTAAGGAATCCTTTTTAATCTCAGCATTGAATCTCGGTAAGACCTATACAATTGGGGCTGGTCTGGATTAGTGTACGCAGCCACACGCACGCACATTTATGTGCCTGGCACTCGGCATTAAGGGAATATTCGGCTCCGAGTTAGTATACTAGGTTTAAGTGTGGAATCAATGTTAATCCCAGCATGGAATCACAGTTATAACATTGGCACTTGTCCTGGGTAGTACAAGCACAGGCACGCATGTGCGCACGCACACAGTATGTGATTATGCAGATATGCCAATGAAATCAGCCTTAAATGTACTCGCACACTATGTTCACACAGATTGCAACTTTGTTGACACCTTTGTTGAAATATTGTCTGGATGCGTTCATTGAAGTGTGAACGATTTAAAAGCGTTGGATAAACGTTCAGACTTCAATGAACCAATCCAAACTGACATTCAATTGTTATGATTTCATACTTTGTCGTTTACTGTTTTCGCTGAATAATATCGTAACGTTTGCTTACATTTGAAGTCCTCTGGTTTCGCCGAAGAACAATGCAACAATGTTATTTTGTCGGTATTTGCCGGCTCTCGTTCACATACGTTTCCCCACTAATACTCAGTTACGCAAGGAAAAATAGTTCTTTGAATATATACAACATAATCTAGAAATATGTCAACAAAATTTCATTCTCTGAACAAATTTACAAACAATATTTGGGATAAATCCAATCTTAAAAATAGGTTACAGGAAGGTGTACAATAAGTTCACACGATCAATTTCACACAAAAAGTTGTTTACATCGTGTGAACTTTTTTGTCCATTCACAGATGACTACCCATTCAGCCAATCAGCATGAAAAAAACAGTGTAAACTTCAAAGTATAAAATTATTATGGTATGGCAGGTAAGATTTTAGTTTCTTCCTTGTATAGTGTATTTATTATCATTGAATACTTAAGCTCAAACATCAACAAAGTGTTTCCCTTTCACAACATTGCAAACGTACTTTTCCACTGCTCGAAAGTAACATGAAAACAACATTAATATATTTCAAAGAATAATTACCCAAGTGAAATCTATGGAATCCTGTCAGTGAGGACAGATACATTTTTTGTGCATACAGTGGTGTGTAACGCATGGTAATGATAGCTGTGTTTTCTAGTATTAAGTGGCATTGAACGGGAAACAGCACCAGCTCCTGCCTTGTTAAATCCTAATAATAAGCATGTGACATGTTATGAGTATTTTCGATTGGTCCTAATTTAACTTTATCAATTAGCCCCTTCAAATTTCGTGCGGCTATTTTCCGATGAGTTACCTCCCTTCCGCTATACCGACAAGGCATAACCCATTGTCCATGCTTCTCGCAACACAGTCATAAATGAACGAGGAAGCATTTCACAGGTTAACTGCAATTCACATACCTCGCAATGTAGAGCGATAAACTTGTCAAGGATACATGGATTTGACATCATATCAGTCACAGTCACAGAGTCAAGTTTATATTCATGAAGGAAGTGTGTTACATCAGATCGCAAGACAAGGTTGAGAGGAAGGTTGGCCACTGAAGGGGTCCTTTGTTGAGAGGAAGAAGAGTACGATGTGACACTTCTCATTGCAAAAGTGTGTACTTTCTATGGAGAGCATCAATTTGGTAAGCGTGTTCTGTAAAAGAGTGGAGAAAACTAAATTCCCTCCAGGGATATATTTCGTACTCGTTATCTGGTGTGTGTATGAGTGAATAAGTAAATGTTGTTTAACGCTGCTACCTGAAATGATTCAACTCGCCGTGTGAAATAAAAGCCTGTAAATAACCATTTTGTAGCAAACAAGTTGAACAATGATTAACAGGATTTAGATATATAGACAAACAATTCAAAGGGCAAAATCCTCGTTTATATTGACTCTTTCTACAAGCACAGGATGCTGGCGACCTGTTTCTGAGCCTGAATCCCAATGGACTTGTTAGTGAAGTGAATGAGGAAGTAAATCGGAAAATATCGTTCAGAGTATGAGTGTATGTTTTACATTATAAGCAAACATATTAGACACGTTTGTGATGTTTGTGATTGTTGTAAATAATACATTGTTTCACTCTGACAGTTTTCATGATGAAACCTGCTAACACAGTCGTGGCCCAGACTCTACTTCTACTGGCACAGTCACTCTGCGGTCAGTCCAACACATCAGTGGGGATAATGTATTTTTCTAAATAGTTATAAGAGGTTTATTAGATGAACAATGTTATTATTGTTAATCAAGCTATTATTCTTCAGCAATGTCAAAACTAATGGTAACGATCGAAATCAAACTGTGTACTTTGACCTATTTGACACAACATTTTGACAAAAGTATTTATTTTTTATAATATATATTCTAAATTGTTTTCTAGATCACGCAACGTTTTAACGTTTTAATTCAACATTCTTATTTCTCCACAGTCTCCACCATACTCATCTGCCCAAACCTTAGTTATCTGGAAACAGTTGTACAGTTGATATGTACAGGGGGAGGTATTTTACACTCGTATATCAGCCCCAGAGGTGTTGAGGTTGCACAATGTCAACTGTCAGGTGGGCCGTGTGATCCTTCGGACGCCCCAGTGACTGTCATCAACAACACTCAAACTATCTTTAACATACCCAGTGTACAGTTAAAAGATGTAGGGACATGGTCGTGTAAACCTGGACGTGAAGATGCTGGTACATGTAATCTGACTGCTGCAAGTAAGTATAAGTGAAAGTTGCTACATACTGATCGTGTAAACTCTCTAACTGTAATAACATAAAGGTACAAATACAACTGATGTCCATTTTGTTGATGGCTTATGAATGTTTGTATATATTTTAGTTGATGCTTAGCTCTGGGTAAAAATCCTTGTTCATGTTATAGGGAGAGCCTGAGATAGTTATGCCCTTCTGAATAAATTACAATGATAATTATGTTGATGATTCATATTGTATTTCAATGAGTGTTCAAAACTAAATGAAATATTTAAAGAGGTTATTTCATCCTTAATCCTGGGTCTTATATACGTCATTTGAATGACAGGTTATGTTGTCTGAGTGAAGTATGAAGTCGAAATGAGTCAGTGCCTTATTGTCGTCATCAAAAGAGTCAGTAAGCCTAGATTTGTCCTGGATACCTATAGAATCCTAGGCGGGACAATGTCGCGTTTGTTGCATTGACCCGTTATCGATCTTACAACCAAATAGCAAAATGTGTCAAAATTACACCAAATGTGACAGCGCGACAACACTATTTTGTAGCATTGTCGTGCTTTGAATAATGTTTTTATTTTTTACAAATGCCGATAATGCTGACACGACATTTTCAGGGACAAAACATGTGATTTTGTCGCATTTTCGCCCCAGCTCAAATCTGTAAAAGAAGGCGGTAAAGTACGCCAAAACACGACAAAGCGACATATTGATAGTGTCACCGCACATTAATGGTTCACACGTCTAGTAAGTGAATTAAGCTATACATACACAAGAATGGTTGTCTACTTTTTGTCATTCTCCAATGATTTTAACACCAATGGAACAATCGATTCCATATTTTCTGAAAATGACAACAAATGTGAGATCGTTTCTTTGAAAGTAAACCAACGTGTTTTGGAATAAAAAACAAAAAATATTTTCCAATTTCTATTTCTATTATGTCTTTTCAAATCAGGATACGGTTGGCACAGTCATTTCAGATGGCGCAATTTGTCATTCAGAGTTGCGTCCCCGAGGCAAACCAGAAAACTATGATCGTGGGTTCGATTCCCAGCTTAACATAGCGGCATCACATCACTTCTGAAATTTCCTCCCACATGAAACTGAAACCCTATGAAATAACTGACATACTGTTCAAAGCGGCGTTAAACCAAACTCGCTCCCGCCTTCAAATCGACAAATTCACTGCAGAGGTGCGTGCCTCAGACGTACCAGAAACCTATGGTCGTGATTATGTTTCTTGGTTTGTCAGCATGTTGATTTAACCCAAATTGGCAAAGCCGAGGAGCCCTCCCTTTTCCTCCCTCCACAAGCTGACACGCAGAGATATAACTGTTTAAAATGGCGTTAAACAATACTCACTCATGATATCACTTTTGACGAACCGCTTAGAGAAATTGGAAAATTATGTTTTTGACATGTCAACATTCTAATACATTCCTAATACAAAAACATCAGATAGCATATGACCCTTTTACCCACCTATTTGCATCTTCTTCACGAACGCATACGCGTTTATTTGTTTTTGTTGTGACTAATTTGGACCCCTGGATCGATTTTAGATGCATCTCCATAACGCTTTGGTAAACTCTGAAATAAACTGAATTAACATTCTGGTTTAAAACTTTAATGTCAATAGAGTATATGTCCCAAGCATCCTATGCTTTTCGTAAGAGGCGATGTAGCAGTCATACAGCAGGAACATTGTGGAGTCTAGAGATGTTTTTCCTATGACACTGTTATATGGCGGTGTGTTTACTAGTTGAACAATGATTGTGGCTGTGTTGTGTAGTTTATGTTGAGATTCGGCAGACGCTCATTGCATTGTGTTTGGGCTGCGATTAGTCGTCAGGAATGTGGTGCCATTTAATCTAAGCAGTCGTCAGGAAGTTACTAGGTTTAGATGCTAATGTTGGGTGTTAACCTCCGGTTACCGTGGACGGTGATAGAATCATATTGTATATTGCCATTGAATATTGTACTATTTACTGCCGTTCTGATTGCTGTGCATTAATTTGTATTGTTTTGTAAACTTGGTGAATGTTGTAATACGTTTGATTATTGTATACCAGGCTGGTTTCACACTAAGATCTTTTACGTACAGGTTTCTTGGTTAACATTTTGTTTCAATTTTGGAATCGACAAGTAAGTCCACAATCCATATACACACCAAGGCGGTCATAGAGCTATGTCCACCTCAAACCTCTGATAATTTCCATGTCAACAGTCATTTTCTATGGGAATGATAGTTTTGATTCTGTCAGTATATGTCAATGAAACAAAATCACTTTTCATCTCTACTTTTCAAACTGTGAACACACAATGCAATTTAGAACGTGGTCCAATGTTAACCAAAATATAACATTTGTTACATTATTCAAACTGTGCTATCATTCTACCGCTGTATTCAATGATTCAGAGAAACCAACATGCAGCATCATCAGTCAGGAGGACACTGATGTACTTGCCCAGTATCAGGCGCTGACACTCACAGTGGACATACAAGACTACTACTGTTCCACAGCCCTCACCTTCTCACTCCAGACCGGGAATGTGACAACACTGCTGATGAAAGCTGACTCTGTAGCAAGTGTTTCTCACACCACTTCTTCAGTAACCCTGAATGTGACGGACTCCCACCTGGGGGTTGTAAGACTGATGTTTAGCTGTCACAACAGTCAATGGAATCTTACTTGCAATGGTGTGACTGAACTCAGTGAGTTTTATGTTATCATATAATACTTAGTTACAAGTCTTGAGCATGTAACGCTGAACGCCGCAACATTTGTCTAAACACCATGTACTTGATGACAAATTTTCAGCATGACATGGCAATAGTCCTATACAACTTCAAACCACTAAACGCCACGATTATCGTGAACATATATTTAATTACACAAATATCGTTGCAGTCATCATATAGAGTGTTCTGTTCACGTTATAAATCAGTATATTCCAACGTATGCATTTCTCAAAAGGGCGTTGATCTAGCAACACACAAATGATGTGGTAGTTTGTTTGATAATCGTTTCTAAATGTAACCCTTTCGCCTAACAGTTCCAAAGACCCCCACATGCAAGATAACCAGTGACAAAGATACTGAGACGCTAACCCTGTATGAGGACGTGACGCTTACAGTGGACATTGCTGCCTTCTACGACATACGAGGTTACTACCGTTCTGTATATTCCAACTTCACACTACAGACCGGGGATGTCACACAATTACTGAATGTTGCTGGAACCGGGGCTGACCATGATCTTTCACCAAAAACCTTCAATGTGACCGAAACACACTTGGGTGGAGTAAGGCTGGTATTCTACTGTCAACACGAACACTGGAATCTCACCTGTGAGGGAGTAGGGGAACTCAATAACAGTGAGTTTTTAGTTATTATCAAGAGGGTACTACCATCACCCCATGTAATTCTCGAGTGGCTACTACTAACACCGCCTGCATATATATGTAGTGTAAATAGCTATCTCATTTGCGCAGAAATAATGATTAAAGTCCGAAACGCATGGAATGATACACACTGTACCAACTAGTTTGTCTGAAGTGGTAAACTGTTCTTATGTTCCAATGTTCTTACCTGAAATACTGAATGAAGTATGCATGCATATTTAGTGGTATTTATTTGCTTGCTGGTCTGTTGTCAGTGTCCCAGTGTCTCCCCAGAGAACACAGTGTTTGTTAATAACTTTTACGTATGGGATGTGATTATGTTTGTTTGTTTGTTTGTTTATTGTTTAACGCCGCACCAAGCAGCATTCCAGTTATATCGCGACAGTCTGTAAATAATCATATATGGACCCAACAGTTCAGTGATTGACAACATCGATCCACACAACTTGGAAAAGATGGCATGCACCAGCCTAGTCAGCGAGCCTAATCAGTGGCCACTCACAACCCGCATGGGTTGCTAAAGAGCATTTCGAAACCGGATCTTCAATGGGGTAGTTTGAGTTCAATCCATGTCAAAATATCAATGGTTATACGACAGGGACATATCATTAAAACACGAAGGGTACATTGTGTACACCAGTATATTGTCAATGTCTACTTTGGTGTTACGGTAAACACATCTGTTGTGCGAGTACTCGCATATTGTCAATGTATTCGTCGTGTATATTATAGAAATGACAGTTCAATCCCAACAAAACGCGCAACGTGCATGAGGTGGACGCGGGCCCCAATTCCTGCATATGGCGGCGGCTGGGTAGCGGTGATTTATACCCCGTAAAAGAGAAATAGAAAGCGATTAAGGGTATTGTAATCTGACGTCTAACAGTCGCCAACACGCGGGATTTTCATTCTCCATGTTAACATGCTGTTACGGTCATTAGTCAAGGCGACAGTATGCCCATGCAGTTTGGCTTTGTGTCTGTTTTTAACAAATGCAACTTGTGTTCTGTTATTTAAGGAAGAGTATCTAACTATGACTTAAACGCCTTTATAACATTGCAGAAATCAAAACATGTGATGTCCTAGCCACAGCCTCCACTCCAGTTATTGCTGCCGGCGTTGTTGTTGCGATAGTGTTTCTCATCATCGTCGTCATCATCATCGTGTTTCTCGTCAAAAGAAAACAGGTAAATCAAATAAAAGCACAGGCATCACTTAAGCCTTCTCCCCCTCCGTACATAACGGTAGGGGCACCCGGAAGTTCAGCTTATGCTACCGTGGAGCTGAATGATGCTCCAGGTGGATCAAAGATCATAACTGTAATAGATGCAGGAGGTTATGCATGTACAGGGGACTTCGTCAACAATGCTGACATCAGATCAAGTTCGCTGACGAAGGATGAATCACACGAGATATCGTTAGCGGCAACATCCACAGACAATCCTAAGAATGACCTCGGTGTAATTGTACAGCACATTATTCCCGAAGATAATACAAGTCAAATCAATGAGCTCTATGCCTCTATTAACAAAACGAAGGACATGACAGTGCAATATGATGACACAGCAATCTGATAAGTTGTTATATATTTGGCGAATATTTGAATATCATTATCATATTTTCTGCTGTTTTCGGAAGTTTTTGTTTCAAGTTTCGTTTGTATTTAATCTGATTTTCCATTAACTTGAGTTACCAGAGTGTAGGGAGGGGCATTATCTAGGATTCGAATGTTCCACCTTGTCAGGCATAAGTTGCAGAGACGTGCATTGTGATTTCTTAAAGAAAGCCAACAAAGCATCAAACTATGCGTAAGTCTATCAACTTAACCTAAAATAAGATTATGTCTTACTGATCAAGTTAGCCATTAACTGCCCGACGAAGGAGGGCAGTTGAAAAGACCGAAGGCTTCTCCAAATGATAATGCCCTGAAAAATAGCGTTACCCTTATTATAGCTAAAATAGATGGAATTTGTTATAAAAAGAAACAACAATATCGGGTTTCAAACATGTTTTGCAATCAACACGAATGCCACTGACCCATTTTCACAAGTATGCAGAGTTACTAGAATACAGGGATAAGCATTATCGAATGTCAGGTATAAGTTGCAAAGAAATGTGTTATGATTACTTTAAGAAACCCAAGAAAGCATCAATATATGCGTAGCTCTGTGAACGTATCCGGAAGAAGTTGCAATCATGACCTGGGTATGCCATTCATGACATTTCTGAGTTATAAGTGTCATTAATAAGTAGTTATTCTGTGCACACTATACTATTATCCGTTAATGATATTTTTATTTGGATGTTTTATTTAATATCTATATATGAGATGACACAGCAACAATCACTGTCTGCTGGTAGCCTGCAAGCAATGGCCAGCTTACCTGATTAAAAGCGGGACAGTGGCTAAAGTGTTCAATTTGTCTTGTGAAGTTCATACCAGGAAGCAGGTTGTGGACATACAAACAGTTCTCAAACTCTTCCCACACTATGTTATCTTGGATGGAGATTGATAAAAAGGTTCATTACATTTATTCAGCAACTACCCAAGAGCGGTAACCATCACACTCATTAAAATACTTCATTCATGAATGTGTCTAAGTACGATTATTGCTCAATGTAAAATTTGCAATACCGATCCAAATATGAAAAAAGAAAAAAAAGCAATGTTTTCATAACATCAATAATTTACCTTGGGGGAATCTCCATAATGTATTGTAGGAAGGAGAGATGTTAGATATAGAAACTTTTCTGTAAAATGAGGAGATGAACACTTAAATGTCCCTTCACAACACATTTCATTCATTTTATCAAACATGTCCAGCAAGCAATAAATCATTGTATGTCAATATTGATTAATATTATTGGACATCCCTGATAACATAACCATAACATACTGTTATCAGAGGATCAACATTTTCCTCTAGGTAAAATGACACATCATATCCTTGTCATATATTCTGGCTAATTTGACTGTGTCACATTAATGAATCATATCGCTCCTGTTTTGTACAGATGTACGTATATGGACATTCATATCCTGTGTTGTCAAGGCATATTGTTCTTGTTGTACATACACATCATGCGAGAGAGAGAGAGAGAGAGAGAGAGAGAGAGAGAGAGAGAGAGAGAGAGAGAGAGAGAGAGAGAGAGAGAGAGAGAGAGATATCTCTGTGTGTGTGGCTGTTTGTCCTAGTCCGGACGAATGCCGAGGTTATAGTTCAAGCCCACTGAGATACCATGCCGCAGTTTGACATGAAAACCCAAATCAGATAACATATACTGACCCCGTGCCGACCAGTGCTTGTTTTAGGCCCTAAATGCCGCGCTCCAGGTAGCATAACAACAAGTACCATATTTGAAGCATTTTGGTAAGGCATTAAGGGTCTCAAACAAGGACTGGTCGGCTCGGAGTCAGTATGCTGTGTCTTTGTTGGGTATTCATGTAAACAGCGGCATGGTATCTCGGTGTGCTAGTACTATAAATCGGCATCAGCACAATAGCACAAGCAGACACACACACACACACACACACACACACACACACACACACACACACACACACACACACACACACACACAAACACACACAGACAATATTTATTGTGCCGTTTGAGCAATACTGGTTTGAGGTGAACATTAATTATGTTGTTTGTCACAGCATTATTCTTTTATATATTGTACATGTGTGTAAATATTTAAATGGTGGAATTATTTTTGCAAACTGAAACACCTTTGGAATTCAGCTTTAAAGTTGGTTCCAAGCAACCTATATTGGAGGAAGGAGGCTACTTTTTGAATCCAGTGGTCATGCTCGTTGTCTATTAGTTGATTATTAACCTCGAAGGTGTGGATTGTCACATCTTATGTCGATCACTGAACTATCCGTTCCAGACTTCTAAGTTGTGTTTGTTTGTTGTTTAATGGCACAATTAGTAATATTCCAGCTATATGACGGTGGTCTGTAAAAAAAGCCAGCCTGCCCAAACAATCCAGTGATTGATACCATGAGCATCGATCAACGCAATTGGGATATTATGACATGCATCAACCACGTCAGGGAGCCTGACCACACGATCCCGCTAGTCGCCTCTTACTACAAGCATTGTCGCCTTTTACGGCAAGCATAGGTTGCTGAAGACCTAGTTTAACCCTAATCGTCATGGGTCCGATAACAAGTAGGCGACTGTCTTGTTGCTGGAATGTTGCTGAGTGCGGCGTTAAACTTATTGTACAAAACCAAATATGAGATAGTGAATGAAACAAGACAAGCATTATGGGGATACACCAAGGACTGTTCGGTTCAACCACATTTCACCTTACCGCACTTTTTTAAAGATTATATTTCATTTTTTTTCGGACACATGCACATATTGCATATAATATGACCAATGATTACAACATATAGCGGATTAAAGGTAAAATGAATTTGCAATGAATATAGTTGATCGGTCAACATTGTAAGTGATCATTTATCAGGAATATTAAGTTTTAAATCGGGACTGATGATATGTAAAGTTATTTTCACGCATGGAATGCAATGTTACTTGACGGTTGTGAAGAAATCAACATTTGAATGGTGTTATATTATGTTTTTAAAACGTTGAAATAATTATATGTCTTTAAATCAGTCATAGACATAATTAAGACTTAAATAATAGAATCATAAAAAAATATGTCGTTTTAGAACAGAAGGTCTAATGCTGGGGTTGGGAGTGGCAGCTGGATGAGTGCGTATTTATACTGGGGGGATTGGGTGCCTTCCTTGCCAAGTATAAAGTTAATTCAATGAAGCGGTTTGTACCCATATGTGTTCGCTTAGGAAGATACAAGGGGTGAACTTATTTCTTACCATCCCACCCCTCGAGTGCAATATGGATTTATAATATTTTCGTATGCATATCGTATATCACTACATGAATAATCACTTTTGCTTTGTTCAGTTATGTTGTTGTTCTTATGCTCATGCATAGTTCAACCTTGTGTTCACGTCAGCTTACAGGTTTACAATCATTCGGAACATATGTTGAAAATAGCATGCTAAATGGTTTTATTCCTGCGACATAATATCAATCGAATAACCAATTCTCGTTTTTAATATGCTTCATGGATTCGTGTGCTATTTCTGCTATTTCCCTGATCATCAACCAAGCTATTCGTTAAATCATACTTTGAATGTTGTATGGAGCTGAATCATGTCCTTGTTTTTAGGAAACGATACACTTTGTCAAAAATATGCACAGAAAGAGAGAATCCTATGCATTGAACTGATCTGGTCATTTCTTAAACACATACTAGTTGTTTTGTGAATCCAAGCAAACTTCGTCATCAACATAACATGCATTGCCATATTGTTTCTTCAAATGTTAAGCATTGATATGACTAAATTGTTCATGCTTTTGCAAATGCCTTCTTTACTTTTTTGTACCAAATAAATTGATGTTCTTTGGTTTTATGTCCCACTTCTTTTTTTGAGTTAACGTAGGTACAATGTTCTCGCTTATGACATGTTCGTGTGTATGAGTACTGATGAAGTCCGTAAATTGCATGGGAAAGAGTTCAAGTAATTTAAAAAACGGGTTTGGTGTACTTCCTCGTTCTTGATATAGCAGCTCACATTTAGAGATAACGAAACATTTATTAAACACGTAGAATAAAGGACACGTGAATATGAATACATTTTCGCGTGACAAATGACAAATGTTTAATGACTTTCCTCGTAAACAAATGCTGTTGTTACTAATATCACGGATAAATGGTGTTAGCCGAACGTTATCGTAGTACTCCACAGAAAAGGTCAATATTATTGATATACTTTCTGGTATACACACGGCTCATGTTGATCTGCCTTAATCAATGTTTAGTTGTTAAGTTCTAGCGCTACTTTTGCATGCATGAGTAGGACGGCACATGTTAAAGTAACAGTTTTAAAAATATTTATTAAGCCTACATGTATAAGTTGTTTCCATCTGTTGGGTCAGTTGGTCAGTTCAGACTAATATGACTACAAACTTTATTTCATTTGTAACAAAATTAATTGATTTTGTGTTTGGAATTATTTGTCCAATAAAGAGTCTGCACGATAATGTTTTCCACTTGTGACTATTTGTTGGATAAATATGACATCCTCCTTCCTCACCAAAACTAATTTTCAGGGATTGAGTACTGATTTTATATGAATAGATATGTACCTTCATGAACATGAACATTTGTTAATTCACATACAGGAAGTTAAAATGTACGGTACTACACATATTGAAGTTCCACAAGAAAGGATGAACAGGAAAGTGTCACATTACCTATATATTTGACAGCGTTGGGAGCATAAGCTGAAGTGGTTCATAAAAATAGCATATGATGAAGCATAATGAAATCAATTTTCGCTGGGTGATCCACATACGCCAAGACAGAATAACGTTATCATCATATCACGGGAGCCTAGCCTAGTGGTAGCCTAGTGGTTAAAGCGTTCGCTCTTGACGCCGAAGACCCGGGTTCGATTCCCGACATGGAAACAATGTGTGAAGCCCATTTCTGGCGTGATATTGCTGGAATATTGCTACGAGCGGCGTAAAACAATACTCACTCACTCACTATGAACAGAACATAAATACTGATGTTCAATAGATCAATACAACAAACAATAATCATCTAGTCTAACTATTAATCAGGTGTGTTTTGAATCCAGTGTTTGTGTAGACAAGTCACAATGCAAAGTCCCTACGTAGGTACAAACAAAGAAACACACTTCTCAATGGGCTGCTACAAAGAGCAGATTGAGCGACCATTGTAGAAATAGAGAGATAGTGTCC